TTTAGGCTTTTCTTTTTAAGTATAAAGTACTAGAAGTAGCGACCTTTTAGTACCTTTATAGTAAGGCCTTAAAGATAGTAGCTTACCTAGTCCTTAACTACTAGTAGCTAGACTAATAGTAGTAGGCCTTATAGTAAATACTTTACTTAAGGACATTATAAACGTTCTATAACTTTATAGTAGTAATAAAGAAAAGTAAGAGTACTTATATACTAATCTATTAGCTACTATTTACTAGCCGATTCTTATAGTTTTGTCTAGCTAAGTACTACCTAGTAAAGAAGTTATAAAAGAAAGAGTAGCCTTAGCTAGTAGCTAGCGCCTTACTAGCGCCTTACTAGTGTCTTATTAGTATGTTTAGTATTACTAGGCTAGAAGGTTAAGTTCTAGTAGAGTAGTAATAAGGACCTAGCGCCTTAGTAACGCTATAATAGTATAAACGTAAGTAGTAGTATATAGGTTTTTACCTGGCTTTAGTACAGTTTTATTACGTGATTTATATAGTATAGAGGTTCTATATATAGTAGGTATAAGTAGTAAGAATAATAATAATAATTATATTATTATTATTATTATTATTATTCTTACTACTTATACTTACTATATATAGAACCTTTATACTATATAAATTACGTAGTAAAACTGTACTAAAGCTAGATAAAAACCTACGTACTACTACTTACGTTTATACTATTATAGTACTACTAAGGCGCTAGGTCCTTATTACTACCTTACTAGAACTTAACCTTTTAGCCTAGTAATACTAAACGTACTAATAGGACACTAGTAAGGCGCTAGTAAGGTACCGGCTACTAGCTAGGGCTACTCTTTCTCTTATAACTCTTTTACTAAGTAGTATTTAGCTAGACAAAACTATAGAAAATAGCTAGTAAATAGTAGCTAATAGATTAGTATATAAGTACTCTTACCTTTCTTTATTACTACTATAAAGTTATAGAACGTCTATAGTACTCTTAGGTAGAGTACTTACTATAAGGCCTATTACTATTAGTCTAACTACTAGTAGTTAAGGACTAAGTAAGCTACTATCTTTAAGGCCTTACTATAAAAGTACTAAAGAGTCGCTACCTCTAGTACTCTATACTTAAAAAGAAAAGCCTAGAGTCTAACTTTACTAGTATAGATCTATATTAAAAGAGAGCTCTTATACTTATAAAAGAGTAGGTACTTCTTAAGGACATCTACTAAGAAGGCAGGCAGTACAGCCAGGGAATTAACTATATTAATAATTAGTATAATAATTAATATAGATTAATACGTAAACTATACTTATTGTTGTTATTATTATTATTATTATTATAAAGGTAGAGTAGTAGTAAAAGAAGTAAAGTAGTAAAAGTAAAAAATGTTTAGTAAAATTAATTTACTTTTAAACTCTTTATTTAATATTTAGGCTATAACTTTACTTTTAGACTCTTTATTTAATATTTAGGCTAATTTAATAGACTCTTAGTTCTTTAGACTCTTTGTTCTATATTTAGACTATTAAATAGTATAAGTATAAAATAAAGNAAAAAAAAAAAAAAAAAAAAAAAAGAAAGAAGAGAGTTTAAAAGTAAATTAGTAATAAGTTTAAATAATACTTTAAAATTTTTTATATAATGTTTTATAATACTCTTTTACGTAATTAGTAGAAATATTAGTATAATAATTAAAATAAATAATAAATAGACACGTTTAATACGTCTTACTGTCCTTATTCTTATTATATTATATAGTGTTATAGCGTTACTATTGTTATAGCGCTATAAGTAAGGTAGTTAGTTATAAAGTAAATTATTATTATTGTTCTTACTACTTATACCTACTATATATAGAACCTCTATACTATATAAATTATATAGTAAAACTGTACTAAAGCTAAGTAAAAACCTACGTACTACTACTTATATTTATACTATTATAGTACTACTAAAGCGCTAGGTCTTTATTACTACCTTACTAGAACTTAACCTTTTAGCCTAGTAATACTAAACGTACTAACAGGACGCTAGTAAGGCACTAGTAAGGTACTAGCTACTAGCTACTAGCTAAGGCTACTCTCTTTCTTATAACTCTTTTACTAAGTAGTACTTAGCTAGACAAAACTATAAGAATTAGCTAGTAGATAGTAGCTAATAGATTAGTATATAAGTACTCTTACCTTTTTTTATTACTATTATAAAGTCGTAGAACGTTTATAGCGCTCTTAAGTAAAGTACTTACTATAAGGCCTACTACTATTAGTCTAGCTACTAGTAGTTAAAGACTAGGTAAGCTACTATCTCTAGGGCCTTACTATAAGAGTATTAAGAAGTTACTACCTCTAGTACTTTATACTTAAAAAAGAAAGCCTAGAGTCTAACTTTACTAGTATAGATCTATATTAAAAGAGAGCTCTTATACTTATAAAAGAGTAAGTACTTTTTAAGAGTATTTACTAAGAGAGTAGATAGTATAGCTAGGGTAGTGCCTTAGTAGTATACTAGTAAGCTATTATATTAAGACTATTATACCTTTTAGTTCTCTTATAAGGTCTTTTTTAAAAAAGAGTCTTTATACTAGTTCTTTACTTATATAGCTTAGCTTATCTTATACTTAAGTAACGTATAAGGTAGTATTATAGTAGTACTATAGTAGTGTCTCTAGCGTTATTAAAGACAGGTTACTACCTTATTATAAATAGACTATATAAGTTTACTCTTACTTATATATTTAAGACGTTATTTAAAGTCTATTACTTACTTATTAAAGTAAAGGTTAAGTAAGAGTATAGTTATTTTAAACTTAAGGAACTAGATAAGAGTCGTTTAGTATACTCTTATAATAATGTAAAGGTACTATAACTACTTTATAGTAAGGTCCTTTATAATCTTCTTAGCTTACTACCTAAAAGAGTAGTACTAGACCCTTATACTATATACTATAGTACTTTAGATTACTTTTATATAGATCTCTCTTACGTATAGTAGGCTATATCCTTATATAGACGTAGTAAGCCTTATAAGTATAAACTACTAAGTAATAAACTTTTGTTTAATAGTATTAAGGTAGCCCTTTTATCTAAGCTTCTAATCTATCTAAACTTCTAGAAAGTAAGCCTTTTAGACTAAAGGTATAACCTAGCTATTAAAGTAGATAGGTATTATTAGTATAGTATAAGTATAAGTAAAGTAAAAGAGCTTACTCTTTTTAAAGATAAACTTTATCTTTCTTATATATAACTACTAGCTATATATCTACTATACCTTTTTAAGGTACTAGTATATCTTTATTATATCTCTACTAAAAGCTAAAAGATTAAGGTCGTTAGTAAACCTTACTATAATAAGGCTTATATAACCTTATAGTAGTATATATAAGCTAGTAGTATAAAGAAAGAAGAGAATAAGAAAGAAGGACAAGCCTTATAGTACCTTTATAGTAACCTTTTAAGGTAGTACTACTTCTTTATTAAAGAAGAGACTAGCTATCTAATTAGTAAGAAAGCTATATACTTACTATATAGCTTATATAAAGAACCTTAAGTACTAAAGAGTATAAAGAAGGTATATATAGTTTACTATATTAAAGGCGCCTTTAATATTAAGTTAGAGAAAGGACATTATAGCCTTATAACTTTATACTATATACGTAGTATTAACTACTATTTTAACTATAAGGTCTATTAAGTATTATAGCTAGTTTCTTATTTATATCTTTAGAAAGAGCCCTTACGACTTTATAGTATTAGTAAAGTACTAGCTAATTACTAACTTAATTACTTTATTTATTATATTTAAGAGTAATATTAGCCTATAGGCCTTTATAGTTTATTATTATTTAAGGGTCTTTCTAGGCTTATATAGTATTACTACCTTTATTACTTTAAACTATATAAGAAAGTGTCTTAGCTAGAGGCTTATAGTTACTATTAGTATAAGAAGCTTAGCTAAAGGGCGCTTATATACCTTAAGAAAGCCGGTAAGTAGTAAGTTAAGACCTAGCGCCTTTTAGGTACTTGTCTTTTAGAAAACGTTAGTAATATCTGCCTTTATTATAGTATTATTAATAGTAAACTATTAGTACTACTTGTCTTAGAAGTCTAGAATAACGTTACTAAGATTAGCTATTAATTCTAGAAAGAACTACTAGCCTAATACTATTACTTTATTATAGTAGCTTATAGCTAGTACCTCTTTATTAGTGCCTTATAAAGGTAAGAGTAAGGCTAGTTTTAAGAGTATATAGCTATAAAGCCTAGCTTACTTCTTAAGACTCTAGAGTTTTCTTTAGTCCTTTAAGGTAGTAGTAAGGGCGTTATACTAGCTCCTAGATTTTATATCTTAGATTATATATAGTTAATAAGTACTAGCCTACTAGAGGTCGCGCTAGTAGAGCTTAGTTAAGGCGGTAGTATATTAATAGTACGCTACCTATACTTACTAGACAGCCTTAAGAACCTTACTATTCTACTAGAGCTTATATAAAGTAAATTAATTTTACTAAAAATTTACTAAGCCTTTATTTTTATAATATCCTATGTCGAAGTTCTCCGGTTTTGGCTGCCGAATTCAGCAGCTTTCGTCGCTGTTTTACGCAGCCTCGACCGCTCGCTTAACCTCTAAACAGTCACGTGCCAGAAGCGCTTGTCGGGCTTTGGCGCAAAACGAAGTATGCGCATCCCCCCATAATATGGATGCTTTCAAGAATCCAAAATTGGATTTCGGTCTCTCAGCAGTCATGATGGGCCTTCTATCGGTTGGCTTCGGCAACTATCTACGCATAAGTACTCGCAATGCCCACCGCCTCCTCTGCCATCTCGCACCATCGAATCTTGCGGCGTTCTTTCTTGCACGACTCCTTCCTTGTCTTGTCTTGCTCCTCATCCGGTCTCTACCTCTCCAAGTGAACGACTCGCAGCCCGCGGTCACCTCACCACACTCAGTGACGTCCCTTCCTTACTTCCTTACTGATGGTTCACCGCTTCCTCTCCCTTTCTCCCGAAGCCCGACCAGACCATGACCCCCAAAATTCAGATCCCGATAAATGATATTCTCAAAACCCTCCACCATGCTGCCAGAAAACGCATCAACACCGGTCAGGTACTAAAGGAGAAGGAAAAGACGGCATATACCAAGCGAGACTATCAACGCAAGCGTGTAGAGCTGAATCAGACGAAGTTTCTACAGCCTCTGGATGCAGATAACTCCAAAGCTAGCATTTACTACATCAGGCAGAAGCTCACTAGGTATGTATCCTCAAACGCCCTTTGCTAGACTATGCTGATAAGACGTAGATACTGTGATCATGCTGATGCAGGACCCTGGCGAGATGCCATTCGTGAGGAGAAATGTGACAAAGGCTTTATGATGTTGTTTCTGTACTGGATATGCGAGACCTATATTGTAAAGAAGCGAAAGAGGAAGAGGACCAAGAGGAAATCCGTCAATCAATACTGGCGAGATTTCAAGATGCTCTACCGTCGGATAAATGGGAAATTCGTGGACGCGAACGACTCAAATAAGGTCGTAAAGGTATGCTGTTGCCCTGTTGCTCGATTATCCGACACTAACACCATGGTTGAAGTATATCAATAGTAAATTAAAGATTAAGTTCGACCTGGATACGACATCCAAGCCAAAGCCCGTGGCTGGGCCGGACGACCTCTTCTTGCTCCTAACCCAACACTAGGCCCGAGACGACTCGGTCTACCGGACCGAGGACGATCGACACGACGTCGCTACGATCATGCTCTTCTAGGCCTACACAGGCGGCCGACTAGCGGAGTTCGTCTACGCTTCGAAGGGTAAGGCAAGCCAGGACCCTCTTGGCGAAGCAGAAGAGGTGGAGAGCGAACGGCATCGCCAGGAAGGGGACGAAGGTGACTGCCTGCCTGATACCAGTAACCAAGGTGTCGACCTCGACTATGATGACGATAGTGACGCTGATAACGACGGGTTTGACCCTTGCGATGAGAGCGACGACCGCACGGTGGATGATGACGATACATCCCTAGATAAAGGTGCGGACACAAGCATGGACCTCGATAGCGGTTACACTAGCGACGAGACCGACATCTCTATGAAGGAGAACGATCGAAAGCCGGCACAACAGACGTGCGATGCCCCGCAGCTCGATGACTTTAGAGAGGCTACACGGCTGTAGAAGGCACTCTGCTACAAGGACATCGTCCTCTGGATCGTGCGTAATCCCCAGAAGGGAGCGCAGGATGTCTTAGCGATGGAAGTTTCCCTACGTCACCACAAAGGTGTAGACAACAAGCCCAAGCCGTATGTTGCTCTCTATGGAGCGTCCTATCCCCGCTGACCCTGACGTATAGCACAACCTTCTTGTTCCGGGAAAACTGCCGCCCAATCCTCTGCCCGATCTCTCACGTGCTAACGCGTGCGATCCGCGATGATGCGATCCTCGTTAACGGCTACACATCTGCGCAGCCCTTCTTTACCACAAACCTGCGAGCCTAGGGGATGAAAGCTATAAAGGTACATTAGAAGCCGGAGTGGTTAAAGCGGCCGATCTTTCGTAGGTCGGTTCTGCTTATAGGTACGTAGGTAAAGTCGGCGACGAAGCCTATGCTCTACTCCGCTTACGCCTTCTATCTTAACCGGCTCGGGAAGGATTCTGGCTTCGAAGACAAGCTAACTAGCTATTGCTTTCGCCGAGGGACCTCAAATGCGATTGATGGTACGTCCTATGCCCAGGATAAGCCCTTCCCCTCTAACAACTCTTTAGGTCTTGCATCGGAGGCTATTCGGGATCAGGTCATGCGGCACGATCTATACACGGGAGTTTTCAACGGTGCCTACAACAATGAAAGCGTTAGGTTTAATGTACAGGACGCCTACCTGAACGGCGAGATCTCTAAAGATGGTCTTACACGGGCCTTTACACACATGAGCATCCGATACAATCCTGGCGCTCCTAAAGAAGTACCCCCAGAGGTGATGAAGCAACTCCTAGCAGCGGCACCAGACATTGTTGAGCTGGAACAGCAGGTGGAGGAGTCGTCCGCTTAGCTCAGACGCGAGTACGTACGTATTAATCGGGCCCCAGCCCTAGAACAGAAGAAGCATGCAGAACTCCGTAGTGAACTCGCGAGCGAAAAGAAAGACTTTAAGGCCGAGATGAACGATACAAACCGCAAAAACTATTTTTACCAAGTTCACAACGTGATGATGCAGATGTAGCTACAGCGAAACTTAGATACAGAGGACGATCAGGATGCAGAAGACCCCGAACCTCCAATCCCGCACCAGCTTACAGAGCGGATACGGGTACAGCAGCTCCTATGCGATCTCTCGACAGACTTGAGCCCTCAAGACATTGTCTCCCGGAAGATCCTTGCTATCGACGCCCAAACGTCGCTCGCGTCGCGACAAGAGCCCCAGACCCGCAAGCCGAAGCTAGTCCCGACCTGCGAGGATTGTCTTAAAAAAGAGCCTTTATCCTCCGCTTCAAGTCCCACTCCCTCTCCTCAGGCCGAAGAAGAGTTTCCCCTTATCGTGGGCAAGACCCAATGTATCTTCTGTATCGGGAACGAACGGTATACATACGACCACCGGACTCGTACCTTTAAACGCGTGTCTCACATGTGGGACCATGTTGAGAACCTTCATCTGAAGCACCTTGGCCAGGTGATACCTTGTCCTCATCCCGTGTGTAAGGCGCAAGACTTGATTCTGAATAGTGTAATGTATTTTAAACACCACGTGGCGGCTGTTCACGGGGTAGACCTTCGACCATGCAAGCCTGAGATCTTGTACTAGTGCGTGAGGTCGCTGGCGACTTCTTATCGTAATAGCCAACCGGCAACCTTATTGCTCCCACTCAGTTTTTTTCATGGTTAGGTTGATTGCTATACACCCGCGACCTAACGAAGCACCTCAAGACGAAGCATCTGACCAACTTGAAAGAAAGGCTCTACAGCTTAAGATGCTCCTTCACTATCACACACAGATTTCACGGCACAGCTCTAGACGCCCGTGCTTGGTGTCAGTATGCGACTACTCGGTGTAGACCCTGCGCAGATCTCAAATGCCCAACAAGCCAATGTTCGCCGGCAGACAGACAATGTCGGGCTTCACAAGACGGAATTGGCTGGCGGAGCTTACCTCGTCAATGGAACAAAGTTCTTCCGTGTCGCGAGTGATACGCGCGGTCACGTGATAAGCAATTCGAAGCAGCAACGACATTGCCTGAGGTATTTCAGTTTGCGCTGGTAAATAAACACGAGTGCTAGCCTGCGGTTCACACAAAGCCTTCGAAATTGGTCGAAGTGTTTAGGGGGAAATGAATGCAGATTGTTAGCAAATTCAATTAGCACAACTTGTAAGGCATGTTTTCATTTAATTCGGAATGTGTGTGGATAGTGAAAATGCCGAATATATAAAACGCTACTGGATAGCACCGCGCCTTCGAAAACTCCTCTCTTGTGTAACCAGGAGTGTCTAATAGATCATGCTAACCAATTACCCCTCGCCACGAATCTATGTGCAACCAAGTAACAAGTCCCAGCAGTCGTATGGAACCCATAATAAAGGAAGCACAATGCCACTTCATCGTGGGCATAAGTCGTAATTGATTTCGCAACAACCCAACAACACAACTGGTCGACCGACAAAGCCATCATGTCCTACTACTGCCAACAGTGTGATCGATCCTTCCGCAGTTCAAGTGCATTAGAACAAAGTCGCGCAAATACAGCTTTGAGAGCTTCTGCCTGACCTATCATAGCGCTTAGGTTTGGCTGCGGGAGCCCTGGTCGTGTCCTTACGGATGTGTTGCGAAGAATCTCGCCTAATTGCCTAATAATTGCCGGCTTTCCAGCTGTTTTTCGAGAAGACTTCGCATGCTGCGATCGCAATCGTGATAGGATTCGAGGCGTATCTAACGACACGACCTGTTCAAAAAAAGCCCTTTGATCTTCCGCGCGTATATTCTCTGTATGGTGTTAGTCTGCTTTAAATCTAGTTCAAGTAGATGCTGACCTCGCCGTGCTGCCTGTTCTAGTACATCGGCGAGCCTCCTCATCCCGCTTGTCAAAGTAGTAAGATCCCTAGTGTTCGATGCGATTCGGATCGTGGCTGCCTCCCCGTCAGAACGTTCCTCCACGCACACCGCCATCACTTTCAGGCTATCGTCCGTCGTGGCCGAGATAAATGCTAAATTGCTGGCAATCTCTTGCTCTCGCGAGATACTTAGGCGGCGTTACGAGTGCTGCTCATTGACCAAGTAACTCTCCTCTAGGGCCTGGGGGACCTCGCTCAACCTCTATAGTTTGTTGATGCTCTCATGTAGCTGTAGTCAGGTTGTCGTACCTCCTCACATGATATGCTCAAGCCGTGATGTCTGCGAGCTCGGTCTCCGGATACTGGCTTATCCTCCGACCTCAGCTGGGTGTAAACGCGGCCTGGTCGTAGTGGTGGGCATCGGCTGTGGAAAGCAGCTCTCTTCTGGCGGAGACATTGGAACGCGGATAACCATCATGTCTTCGAATCTGGACAGTGGTGGAGCTGTCGTGTAACGAGACTGGTAAATCAGGTCCTGCGTGTCTGCGCTTTCGGTCAGGCTCTGCACTACGGCAGATGACCCAGGTCGTTCTTTAGTTGGGAGAGAACACCATCCAGCGGGCGACCTAGGTCGTCCTTTGGCACCTACCGAGTCCCCTCATCCAAGGCACTATTGCGCGCGACCTGGGTCGAACCTTGCCGGAATTCGGAAATTCGTTTGGGGCCGAACATAAGGCACTGCGGCGGGCGACCTAGGTCGTCCTTTGGCACCTACCGAGTCCCCTCCCTCCAAGCACTATTGCGCGCGACCTGGGTCCGGTCCTGACACTCGCCGTGGTGGGACAAGCATTTGAGAGTGTTTCCATTGACGAATTGTTGCCCCAAAGACGAAAAATAATGTTACTGGTCGTCGGCAAGAAAAGGAATCTACATCGTGCGTTGACATTTTCAGGACTAGGTTGGGCAGCTAGTCAAATTCTAGAGTCCTATGTGAATATGTTATAAGGTTACGTCTATAAACAGGCAGTCCAAGCTTCGACACTCAGACCGTTTCTTTTTTCCGCCACCGCCGCCGCCAGCACTGCCAAAACCAAGAATGCTAGTGCTACCCCTATTCGTGTACTTGCCACAGCTGTATCTTCAAAGCCGGGAGCACACCTACTAGGTCAAGAGTGCGTGATAGATCGGTTGCTCCCAGTAACTGATCTGCCTGTGGGCCATCGTCCCCATATCTTTCTCAAGGCTCACGGCTTTAGGTTCGAGAAGGGACTCCACAAGGTTCCTGTTCTATACAAGATCGTGAAAACGCCGAGCGGCGATGGTGGGGGACACCTTGTATTGCCCACAGCGAAATATTTCCCTTGCTGTGTACGCAAGTTCCCGTAATCGAGGACAAGAGCGCGACGAGGGCCAAAAAGGCTACCGTCAGAAGAGATGCGAAGGACAAAAGCGACGCGAAGGACAAAAGGGACGCGAAGGACAAAAGGGACGCGAAGGACAAAAGGGACGCGAAGGACAAAAGGGACGCGAAGGACAAAAGTGGCGTGAAGGACAAAAGAGCCGCGAAGAAGAAAAAGAGTCGAAACTTTTGTGCCGTCTGAGCCTTGTGCCAATCATCAACCATACGACGACCAATTATTCTTCAGCCTCTAGAACATAATTCGTTGATTCGAAGAGCCCTGGCGGTTTCCTTGTAAACTCTACATGCAGGGCCACCGTTCGTTAATAGGCATACTCTTAAATACTTGTCCTACCACGGCGAACGACCCACGGCGAACAACTCTGGCCATTCTACCTTCCCTTTCTTGGTCTTCATCTTCTTGCTAAAAGTTGGGCTTTCTCTGGCCCAAGAATCATCTATCTCCTCTGCTGAAGGGGAGAGGAGATGGGCGCCGGGCTTCTTAGAGATGTTCACGGAGCAATGTATTTCCAACCCGCGCACCGAACCCGCTCCATGGCTGCGCCGCAACCAGCTAAAGCACGAGAAATCGCGAGCCACTGCCTCGCGCGTGAAGCGGACAAAATTGTGTTGACTAGTCTCCCAGCCACTCACCCAAACGCGCCGCTTTTATCGAGGCGAGGGTGATGCCTCAGGTGAGCGCGCATCCAAGCGTGCCGCTTTTAACTTGTTGAGGGTGCCGCCTGTGGTGAGCTGTCACCCCCCTGCCACATCGCGACGCGAAACCCCTACCTAGACCTGTCGCTCGCAAGAACCAATTCCGAGGGATGTGCCGGCCAGTGTGGCAGCGCCGGCCGCCTGTGCCCTGTGCTATCTCTATCTTCGTATATTAAGATTCGAGATTCGAGAATCGAGAGACGAGAAACGAGAAACGGGAAAATGAGAAACGTTGTGCACGCGCTCTTTTAAGGGTAAGGGTGGCTCCGCTACCTCCTTCTTTAACTGTTTACGACATCAAATATGGCAAGGACGAGGCTACCCAATGAAGCTCCGGCCAGGGCCGAAGCCAACGGCTACCGGCGTGGATATCATCGAGAGACAGACCGTCTAACAGGTATTAAGCAATATGGCGAGAAGGAACTGAAGGCACAGGACTTTATTCTCGATCTTTACGTCACGTAAGTTTTAGTTGATCTGCTCTTACGTTACACTACTTACGCAAATACAGGTGGTGCTGGAAGTATGGTACAGATGAACAGGACGGGAAACCTCCTGCCCCTGTGGACCGGGACTCCGTTCGAGCTTCTGTTCTCCGCAAAGGTGCCCCAGCGCCCTTAACAGTAGATATTAAAGATTTCCTTCGTTTCTACGTCAAGCAGAGCAAAGGACGTATCAACACGTATTCGTCGGTCAAGTCTGTTCTAAAGCAAGCTGAACCCTTCTTTAAAGGATTTGCGAGGGTAACCGGGACACTGACTGTAGAGGAGGAGAAGTCTGAAGTTTACAAGGTATGTGATTATATATATATGGAATATTCAAACTGACAAGTATCTAGTGGGTAAAAAGAGTACTGCCTACCGAAGGCGATACCATTAACCAGTGCTTGCCAAAACATAATTTTGGTCAACCGGATTTAGACAGAATCCTCCTTGCGCTTTGGACCCGCTCAGATCTCAAATACCATGAGAGGTATAAAATCCAATTCACCTTCCTCATTCACACCTACTGCTGGACCGGCGCACGCATCAATGCCTTCTTCAAGGGAGGTCTCCGCTACAAGGTAGGGCGCGTAACAGATGTTTATTTATACTGTCTTACTCTACTACAGGATATCCACCTTGTTTTACGACGACGTGCAGGTGGTCACGGCAGTGAACTTATTTGGAAGATTGATCAGCGATGGGTCAAGAATAATCGCAATCCGAATACTGTTGTGTATGAGCTACTACGGACTGTGCTAAAGAGTACTACTAACAACGCAAACAGTTTCAGCGCCGCTGGGAAAGAGCACTCGAGACTTCTCTACAATGACGGAGCAATGCTCCTCACCTTAGCCTCTGCCGACAAAGCTCTCTTCGGGTTCGACTCTCTAGAGGATTTGTGGCAACAGGAAATCCCGCCTGGCGAGACGCACGTGGTCCTTAGATGGAAAGAGTCTGTGGAGGAGCTGCCGATCCTGCGTCAGATCAAAAAGGGTATCGTAACAGAAGATCCGTGGTTACTATCTTCGTTTACGGCCATGTTTAGGGAAGTTCTAGATATTGAAGGGTATTCGAGTGGTGCGGGTGTGCACCAGATCCGTCGCGATCTTGGCAAGAAGGTCGATAGTAAGCAGCCTCTCTCTATTCAAGAATTCCTCGGTCTAACTTTTGCGGCAGGAGACTATACGGAAGTCGAGCGTTCTCAGCACATCCTACAGTCTGACCCCCGTATATTCGGGCAAAGTTATGTCGCAAATACCTCGTCAGTAGATGGGCAAGCAGCCTTTCTCCAAGAAACGGCCGATCACAGTGTGATAGAGTATTTTCAGGGATTAGAGCAGTTCCGCGAGCCTGGCGCGCCAATTCGCCTCCCCAAGGCCATGAAGGCCGATTTGGAGAAGGATCCGGAAGTTGTGGCCCTACAGGAGAGAGCGTCTACCGCTAGCGACTCTCGGGAACGCGATGAGGCGAGGAAAGCCCGCGAGCGTCTACTCAAGAGGCTAGAGCACAGGGCCTTTATTTCGTTCCGACATCGTTGGACCAGGGAACGCAGAGACTGGAAAATCTTGACTCGGGGTAAAGTCTCATCGGAAGTTGATACGGATAATGGCCGACTAATCCTGCTTATTCCCGAACGGGCTCGTATCGCAGACAAGATGAAACGCGAATCAGGCTTAACTATGAATGAAATGCGCGACGCGACACGAGACCTTCTAACTCTGTGTACGCGAGATTACACCGTCTTCTTTCGCCCGGGTGAAGAGCCAATAAATGGGTTGTGTCCGGTCTGTAACCGGGAGATGCACACGTAAGGGCCTATCCGCTCAGCTGCGGGATCTGCTAACCTTAAGGAATTAGTATCGAGAAACGATATCGGAGCGATCATATTCACGGCTGTTGCAAAAAGGAGAGGGCTAACGAGATCGGCCAAAAAGTATCCTGTCTGAGATACTGCTATGATTGTATGGAATGGTACGTTCAGGGTAGCGAGTGGGATGAGCACTGCCAGAGGCACCTTTCCGATCTGCCGAAGATCCTGGGGACAATGACTTACTGCAGCACACTTATAAAGCCTGCGTTCTGCCCATTCCACCTAGCGACGAACCTACCCGCGTCGGAGAGAATGCAGTCATGGGAGCGAGACGCCGATGCCCTCCGCCATATGAAGAATGAGCACCTAGGAAAGGTGAATTGGCCATCTGCTATCTGCTGCGATAAGGAGTTGGAAGATGAGCAGTCGTTCTATTACCACTTGAGCGATTGTCATGGCTACTCCCTCCAAAGTTTGAACGCTACTCGTAAGCGAAAGCGACAGGATGACGGTACGGGCCAGGCGAAGAAGAAGAGGAAGGGGGGGGAGGAGGAGGAGGAGGAGGAGAAGGTGAAGGAAGAGAAGTATTGCGAAGTCCCTGCCGGGGAAAGAGCGTTGACAGTAACGAGACGGGAAGCCGACCCTACCTTACCTGTCATAAATGGCGACGACACTAGCAGATGTTCAACAAACTCCAGGCAGGCATTTACGGATGCCCACGCCCTGCTAGACGGAGCCCCTCACTTCCGTCGTGCTATGTCTTTATGTTCAAGTGTCGACGGCGACTCAGAGAGACTAGGGGACTACGGCTTTGAACCGACAGACTGTTTTATATCCCGTTACGTGAACCCGTCTCCTTCGCCGACGCCTAGCAAGTGCCCTGAAATCTACGGCCCTAAATCGCAAGACCCGGATTGTTTTATCTCCCACTTCGTCAAGCTGCCTCCTCCTTCGCCAACGCCACCTGCCAAGGACGAGCACGAAGCCCCCCTTAATCGTTCCCTTGCCACAACTGATCGCAGCATCATCCAAGCAAGTATCGAAGGATCCTATTCTAATACTAGCGACAGCAGGAACCCAAAGGGGCCACGAATCAAGCTGAAGCTTAATCATAGACCGCCTAAAATCATCCTCCGCCTCGGAGAGCCTTCGAAGGACCGACGACGGGCAGGGAAACGACAAGGGGGCAGCAAGCGACGTGGCAAAGCATAGCTTGAATTATATAGGTAGCATTTAGATAGACTTGAATTTAATTTAGTTAAGAACATAGTTAGTTAGTCTAAATGCATCCGCTCTTCCTCTGGACTGTAGCTACATGTGTCGAGACTACTCCATCTATCATCCCACTCTCTAGCAACGGCTGACAACCTGAATTTCTCAAAGGCGCTGTTTGCATCTTTTAACGACCTGACAGTAATGTTTCTGTACTCGTTAATTAGATCTATCTTTTGGGCGTCCTGTGTTTTCAGCCTATAGACTGTCGTCCTGAGTTGGTCAATCTCCTTTTCAGCCCGCTCAACCCGGCTCTTGCAGAGACAGAGCTCCTCGATGAGTGATTGCTTGTTGCTCTCGAGTTGCTCGATTTTCCTGGAGAATGTATTGTCGCTGCCTCGATCTTGTTTTGTCGTTTCACTAGTCGCCAGCACAGCTTCGAACGAAACTCCAACCTCTCGAAATAGCTCCATGTATGCTCCAATAGAGTGTTTGCTCATCTGCTTCTCGAAGAGGTGCTCTTTCCCGGGAAGCACTTTCCAACAATATTGGTCATCGCTAGTAGTGATCAGACGGACCTGCGCTGGCTCGACTAGCAGCTCGAGACTCGTGCCTTTAAATATTTTAGTTTCTGCTATAGATACTAGAGACATGTCTTACTAATATGCTCTGAGAGCTTTTGCCGGCACTTGCTCCTCCAGTGCGCCCTTTCGTTATTACTCTTACGAGAGGAGGCTAGAGAAGTATCGACTGTATCAGACATCTTTCAATCGTACGTAGGTCAAGGCTTAAGTCTGAGGCGATTTAGCTAGTCAGTTAGTACTGAAAGGAATCTAAGGAGAGAAGAAAAGAAAGGAGGGCAAACACAGCCGTATATTTCTCAAATATTCCTTCATATTCCTTAAAATAAGAAACTTAATTACCCCTTTCTAGGTCCCAGTCCTAGATTACTAATTTAAAGTTTCCCGTAACTTTCTAAATATAGAGTTACTAAACATATCCTCCTGTTGATTAGATATAACGTGATTTATCACCGAGCGGCGCATATCACCGAGCGGCGCACTTTTCCTTGGCATCCTACCTCATACCTTTATGACGCGATAGCTCAATAACCACAAATGGAAATCCATACAACTGAAGCTCGAATCATTCTAGCCATTGAGGCTATTCGGACATCTAAAAAACTTAGCTGTCGGTCTGCAGCAAAGATCTATAAAGTGTCCGAAACAACACTTCGCAAGAGAATAGCCGGTCGAATCCCTCGCAGCGAAATACGGCCTAATTGTCATAAACTCTCTGAATTAGAAGAGCAAGTGATTATTCGATATATACTTGATTTAGATTCAAGAGGATTTGCACCCCGGCTTGCTGGTGTAGAAGATATGGCGAATTATATCCTAGAATCGAGGGGGGGAGGATGCGTCGGCAAGCTCTGGGCGCATCGATTTGTACAACGCCAACCAGACCTAAAGACGCGTTTTACTCGTGTTTATGACTTCCAAAGGGCCTTGTGCGAAGATCCTGACGCGCTAAGCGCGTGGTTCCGGCTGGTTGAGAATATGAGGGCGAAATACGGGATTACGGACTCTGACTTCTACAACTTCGACGAGACAGGCTTTATGATGGGTGTTATCTGCGCTGCAATGGTCGCCACTCGGGCAGATCGACGTGGTAGAGGCAAGGCAGTTCAGCCAGGGAATCTGGAATGGGCTACAGCGATTATTTGTATTAATAGCGAAGGCTATAATGTGCCCCCGTTTCTAGTTGTCCAAGGGAAGAATCACCTCGCGAACTGGTATACGGAAGGCGGCCTCCTACGCGACTAGGTCATTAAGCCGACAGAGAATGGATGGACAAACAATGAGACAGGTCTAGACTGGATAAAACACTTCGATAAGTATACTGCTACTCGAGCAAAGGGTCCCTACCGAATGCTAGTCCTTGATGGGCATGAGAGTCACGAATCGGCCGAATTTCAAGAGTACTGCAAGGCACACAATATCATAACTCTCGGATTACCTCGTCACTCTTCCCATCTCACTCAGCCTCTTGACGTCGGGTATTTTAGTGTCTTGAAGCGGGCGTATAGCCGGCAGATCGAGACTTTTATCAAGGCTCATATCAACCATATCACAAAGGTTGAGTTCTTCCTGGCTTTTACGGCAGCATATAAGGAGTCAATGACAACTCAGAACTGTCAGGCTGGGTTCCGTGGAGCTGGCCTTGTGCCTTTCGACCCGCAAGCAGTACTTTCAAAGCTTGACGTGAAGTTACGGACTCCAACTCCCCCGCGGACCCCTCCTACCGATGTCGACCCTTGGGTCTCCCAGACTCCTTTAAACCCTACTGAAGCTCTTTCACAAACAGCTCTTGTTCGAAACCGGATTGCCTGTCACCAAGGGAGCTCGCCAACCCCTCTTTTCGAGACAGTTAAAGCTTTAGCAAAAGGTACAGAGCGAATGGCGCATGAAATGACCCTTCTGTCTGCCGAAGTGCGCGTTCTTCGAGCAGCTAACGAAGCACTTAGCAAACGCCGTAGGGCGAAAAAGACTCGTATTCGTTAAGGAGGCGCACTTACAGTAAAAGATGCGCAGGATATGATAGCCGGCAAGGAAGTAGAGGAGGAAGTGCGACGCGATATACGTGTAGCAGGGGGTAGTCGCAAGGAGGGTTAGCCGTCTATAAAACATTGTAGGGCCTGCGGAGAAACTGGCCATAATGCACAAACTTGTCCAGATACTATAGAAGTAGTTGCTTTAACAAATTCAGAGTAGTTTTAGTTAATTTACTTTATTATAGTTGGTTTATTAGCATCTGAAGTCCTATGCCAAGGAAAAGTGCGCCGCTCGGTGATATGCGCCGCTCGGTGATAAATCACGTTACAAATACAGAATACAGTCGGTTGCGAAATCAGTGTCTGGCTTAGACAAATCAAGCTTAGAGTTCAGTAGAGTACTTGGTGTGACTATCGCAACTTAAGTTGGGACTGATTTATATTTACTCTTTGCCACAGTGCACTCTAGCTTTGTGTATTAGAGACATTAGCAGTCTACAACTAACCACTTAGGATTTTAAAACTCAATCTCTTTTTGATTCGTCGCTCTGCCTCTTAAGCAGACATTGTTTGAACTTCGTGACCTGAAACCGCGAATCCCTCTGTTACAACAGCTATTGACCTCTTCTGTTGATATATCCAGTCTGTAAAGGACTGCTTCTCCAGGTCGGATACTCTATCCCAACTCTCTACATAGCCGAGAAGCTCAGCAGCGGAAGAGGTCTCGCTCGACAACTCTAGTAGGAACGAAGAGCAACCAGAGTGCTTGGGATAGTGCCACCATTCCAACCACGACAAGTTCTTTAGCACTGACAGTTTTCGGCTCAGCAGTTTTGAATCTTCGTCGCACACTGGATCGGCATATTGCTCAAAGCTGATCAGTTTTGATCCCGTATCTTTTACACTTCTGGACACCTGGCCCAGAGTTCCAACATCCAAATAGCTGTTGATGTCAGATAGGACTTCGTACGGCAATGATTGTAGCAACATCTTCTGAGTCTTATGTTGATAGCTGTTAGTATCTTCAGTCAACCACGTTGATACACTAGATGACCGAAATTCTAGTGGCTTAGGTTAGCTTATTTTCAAGTTTGCTGAACTGCGCGCCTAAGTGTTTTAAAAGCCGCTGAAGTAGAAAAGTAATAAGAAAAGCAATAATAAGAAAAGTAATAATAAGAAAAGTAAGAGTACGAAAAGTAAGAGTACGAAAAGTAAGAGTACGAAAAGTAAGAGTACGAAAAGTAAGAGTACGAAAAGTAAGAGTAAGAGTAAGAAAAGTAAGAGTACGAAAAGTAAGAGTACTAAAAGTAAGAGTACGAAAAGTACGAAAAGTAAGAGTACGAAAAGTAAGAGTAAGAGTACTAAGATAACCACCAAAATCAAGACAGGAAGCCAGAGGTTGAGTAGGCGGAAAGAAACATTGTTGAAGAAGGCCCACGAGATAGGAACACTTTGTGATGTCGATATGGCATTGTATCTCCGTATTCGCAAAAGTGGCCGTCTCATCGCCTACAAGTCGATCAATCGGCAGTGCTGGCCACCTACAGAAGAACAGATTGTACGTACCTTGGACCATCGGAAGCACTACACTAATAAAGCTGTAGCAACACACCTATCCAATCCCATTGGTCCTGTTGCCAAAGGACATGGAAGCTAAGCGTAGGAAGGCTTAGGAGACAACTATGGAGGGCAGTAGCAGCGAACGGCAGTCGAGTTTGGACGGGAATCCTGGAACGACTAATGAGAATGTTATATAAAAAGACTTTACTTTCTCGTATAATAAAATATTTGTTTATTATCTTCGTGGGGAGTTGCTGGCCTATCGGCTCTAGCTAGGCCTTTCCTGTCGGGTATGGTGTGAGATTGCCTAGCGAGATGCTAAGTGACACTATCATGTTTTGGGGCTCATTTTCATACGATAAGAAAGGGCCATGTCATGTATGGCAAGAGGAGACTCCAAAAGAGAAGAAAGAGGCAGAGGAGTGGATTAAATGCAAGAACAAAGAGCTTGAGCCTATTTCACACGCGAAATAAGAGACTGAGAATGGAATGCGTCGATTACGACAAAACCCTGGACGAAAGCCAGTATGGAAGTGGTAAAAGAAGACTGTCAAGCGATTCGAAAGGAGGGATTGATTGGTCTCGATACAATAAGCTGGTTCTAGAAAAGAAGCTTTTACCTTTTGCTCTAGAGTGCATGAAGGATCGACCAAATACTATTGTTCAAGAGAATAATGCATCACCACACGCTCACTGGTACCAGCAAATAACATATAATGTATGGGAGGTTCAACGTATGATATAGCCACCGAATTCAACAGCCCACGTATCTTCTTCCCAGCAACCTTTAGCCTCTTCTCGTTCTCAAAACGAATGTCTGACTCATATCTGGCCCAAATATATTCGGCATAATAATATTGCCTGGCATTATTTTCTTTTCAGGCATCTTTAAATCATAATGTTGCAAAACATATGTGACAACCACCTTCAATACATTATTAACGAAGAACCTCCCGGGACAAGCATTAGGTCCGTATCCAAAGTTCATATCATCAAGACTTGGAGAGACAAATTGATGCCTGCTTTCTTGTTCAAGAGATTGGGATCGAAGGTTGAGGTGACGGTAACCGTCAAAGACATCTGGGTTTGGATAGATTTCCGGGTCACGCAGGGTCCCAATTAAGGAACAGGTTAAATGAGTCCCAGCGGGGATAGTCACACCGTCGTGTAAGACAATGTCTTGGAGGGCTTTTCGGGTGAAACTGGTAGCACCGAGAGGATTCATGCGTTGTGATTCTTTGCAGAAGGAATCGAGAAGTTTGAGTTTTGGGATACTGGTCTTGGAAAGCCATGGTACGGTATCGGTAGACATGACGGAATCAACTTCATCACGAAGGGGCCCAAGGTATTCAGGCCGAGCAGCAAGTTCGTAGAGAATGTGTGAGCCGGTCAATGTGGTCGAGTAGATTGCCGCCTTGGAGAGAATAAGCTGGGTGTGTGCTTGGATTTTGACAGAGCTTTTTCCGGAAGGGGAGTTCATGATGTTCCAAGTCGCCATGTCTTCAGAGGGGTCGCCGGCTTCAATGGCAGCTAGACGAGCCGGAACGACTGATGCCATGATTTTCATCATTGTCTCGTAAGTCTTGAAGAGCTTTTGGACTTCGGGGAGGAACTTGTAAACTAATGGTCGAAGCCATGGTCGCCATTTAACTGCAAATTATGAGTACATTAGTTCACCGTCATTAGACATCTTGATCTCTGTTGTAATCCAACACTCATGCACATGCAATGCTTTACGTCTTGCCAAAATGCGATCTTAGGAAACTGGTACATCTAAGACTGACAGGCGTATTCTTCATTAATAAAGAAAGGGATTTGACTCACACAGCGCTGCTTTGGCTTGAAAGCTTTCCGATGTAAACTCGACGATACAGCGAAGATACTCAGGATTATGGCAGAGCTCCTTTCCTATGAACATTCGACCAGAGATTATGCTAATGATGGGAAACAGTTTCTGCCACATGTTGACTTCAGTCCACTCTATAAAACATTTTATTAATTTAGAACCTTGAACCATTCATAAAACTTGCCTTCGCATGACCCGATTACGTCTTGAAACGCACGCTCAGTTTCTTCATGAATATCTTTCATAAGGCCATCTAATAGTTCAAATACCAATTAGCTCCTACCGAACTTATCAGGCAGCCTTTCAATTATGAATAAACGCCGTATTGTGGGAGCGTACTTAGACTTCGGGTTAGATTGTAATTGAGGCTTCTCGGCACCGTGTTAGGGTGTAGTCCGGAAAAGCTGTGCGAAAATAAAGTGTATTCTCCAAGAAATCTCTGGTCCAGACCGTTAGGAACTCATCAACAATGAAGTCCAATACACAATATGCATACCTCGTCAACAGCAGCGTCAAATGACAGCATAGTTCGAGGCAAAGCCTTTAGTTCATCAACGTATTTTATTGGTAGTATAAGAACATCGCCATATGGCTGCCGAACCTTGAAGAAGGTGTCTCGATACTGTGTCTGTTACTATATATCTCCTGGTGCAATAAACAGCTTCAATACTCGTTGATTCGGTGCTTACCTTGCCGTAGTTGTCCTTTAAGACTGGATGGAAGCTCTCTACAGAAATATTACCGCCCTTGACATTCTCGTTCGCGCCTAGAAGTGGAGCATGGAAGGTTCGTTTAGTAGGGGTCAAATAACGGTAGAGCAAGAAGAGCGAGAAAAGCGCAACCAAGGATGGGATGATAGTGAAAACGATGATTTTATCTGTGAAGATCTTCATCATGGCATGTATTTCTATGAAATTAAAAGCCTTTTCTGAATGATGCCCAAGGTAGCGTCCTTGAGACGTAAAATAGGAAAGAAGAATGATCTCTAAAGAAAAATAATAGGCTAATAACATTGTGCAGGTTGGTAGTTATGTACAAGCAAAACGTAAGTTAACAGTTTTATTCAAGGTATTACGTATCACACAGTATAATCAGGAAGCAGGCTTATGTAGAACACATGATCCACAAATGTACACGTATGCGCATGCATGCCTTTTTCGATTGTGAGGAATGTTGTTTTTGCTGTCGAAGCAGTCAGTAGATATAGATACCACCTTCTAGAATAGAGCAAGTTCGCAAGTTTTAATCAGCCATCTTACAAATTGAATAGATTAGCACGCAGGTGTGTTAGTATGCGAGTTGATTGATAGGTGAGCTTATTGGTAACTGGGTTGGTTGGCATGCAGGTTGGTTGGTATGAAGGTTGGTATGCAGGTTGGTATGTAGGTTGGTATGCAGGTTGGTATGTAGGTTGGTATGCAGGTTGGTATGTAGGTTGGTATGCAGGTTGGTATGTAGGTTGGTATGCAGGTTGGTATGTAGGTTGGTATGTAGGTTGGTATGTAGGTTGGTATGTAGGTTGGTATGTAGGTTGGTATGTAGGTTGGTATGCAGGTTGGTATGTAGGTTGGTATGTAATATAGAGTATGGGGGCGGGTTGATAATGTGCATGCACATTTCAGTCAGCTACAAGGGGGTTTTTGGGTCAATTTGATCGTTTGGCTCGAATGTTCGTTACACAGCCTTTCTCTGTCGATTCGTACTTAATGCAGCTACAATCAGTGATAATAGACAAGCAACATTTCTTGTTTCTAAAACAATTTGGCCTCCAGCAAAATGTTCAACAAGACGAAAATATTCCAGAATCCCTCATTATCTATCTCAGAGTCCCAAAAGTACTTTTTTCCGATCTTTCTTGTCGTTCTTGTCGTTCTACTTCGGAAGTTATGGCTCATCTCATCTATTCAGCTTGATCCACGAGAACCACCGCTCGTCTACCCCAGGATCCCATTTGTTGGCCACCTCCTTGGAATGATCCAGGACCCACATCAATATTTTTTCAAACTGAAGTAAGTCATCTCTAATTCGTAATATCCCTCCAATAAATACTATAGACTAAATGCCAGCTATAGTAAAAGGACAAACCATCCTGTTGCCACACTTCCAATACTGAACGGGAAAGTTTATGTGATAAACTCCCCTCAGTTAGTTCAAGCAGCCTTCCGTAACCAATCACTCAGCCTTGCCCCGTTGGTCAACGAATATGTCGGTCGTATGCATGAACTATCTCCGTCGGCACGACGATCGTATGCCGAAGATGGTATGCACGAGCGCATGATGCAGCTATTTATAACGAGAATGTCTGGTGAATCTTTAAAGAGGATGAACACCGTTGCGATGAGAGAAATGAACTCAATCTTTCAGGGTTCTTCTGCCTCGAGGGGTCAAGAAAAGAGGGTGATTGAAACTGAAAACCTCTGGCTCTGGTTGCGAAATATAATGACAGTGGTTACAACCACGGCGCTGCTTGGTCAAAAGAATCCCTGGAAAAAGGACCCCTCCCTGATTGAAGCTTACTGGTTAGTCCTCTCTTATCCGGTTTTATTCCAAGTTTATCTAACCAATATGTAGGAGTTGGGAATCTGGTGACATCTCACGTCGAACACCTTTAGCAGCAATAAAGGACCGCGCGTCTCATCAAGGTCAAATTGCTATACGGAAGGCCTTGAATATCTATTTCGCTGAGGAGCATCACTCAAATGATGTCTCCCAGTTAACGGTTGATACAGTTGCCATGCAGAAACAATACAGCTTTAGCACTAGTGACTTAGCTGCTGCGTACTTGCAAGTCATACATGCATCGCTAATGAATGCTGTCCCTACCGCCTTTTGGGTGATGGCCCATATTTACAGCCGACAGGAGCTCCTAGCTAGCTTGCGGGAGGAAACATTTAACGCTGTGAAACAACAAAGCCTTGAGAATGGCGAGCGCCAAGTTTCCATTGAAGTAGATCAATTAGACAAACTTTGTCCGAAGCTAATGTCAGTCTTCCGAGAGGCCCATCGTTTAGCTTCAATAGCAACATTACATCGCCGTGTAGTGGATGATACCTTTCTTTCGGAAGGAAATGGGCCCAACGTTCGCAGCTACCTCCTGAAGAAAGGAATCACTGTCATGATCCCGACAATAGTTGGTCTTCGTGAACCAAGGTTGTGGGGTGGTGTAGTAGCAGCGGAATTTGATCCTGAACGCTTTCTTGGACAGTCTAAAAAGCAACAGGGGAACAGCAGTTATACCGAACTTCGTGGTACTGAATCAATCTCCAACCTCCGCAAAAAAGCTTACTTTCCTTTCGGTGGAGGTAAAGAGCTTTGTCCCGGGCGTAACTTTGCAATCGCTGAGGTTATGGGTATGATGGTGGTGCTGCTCAACGGATTTGACATCACGTCTGCTGATGGGGGGACATTGCCTTTGCCAAAGCCTGGCAAGCCGAAGCTCACGACTGGAACTGCTAGACCTGATCAGAACGCAGACTTGAGAGCCAGGATCATGAGGCGGCCAGGATGGGAGAATGTTGTATGGGAAACAGTGGCTGGTCCTAAAGTGACTCCTTGATTAAGCTAACGCTTCAGATAGATATGTATCCCCTGCGAGATAAAATGCATAATATTATGCTACTGGTTCCTATTCTAGTCAATTATGAATGCATAACTAGTCAATTGCAATGTATTATTGTACCGGTCCTACCCTGAATCGTACGATATCCTTACCATCCTCTTCTTCTATACTCTACTCTCTTTTAACAGAACTGGGTTTTCACCTACAAACCCTGAATATAAGTTAGGAATAAACCAAAATTTATTAGCGCTATATTCAGGTACACCGCCATTGATCAGTACTTATTTGCTGCCGACACACTCTCTCAAACCACCGCATTTTGTGAATCTTGACCCTCTTCGAGTAGCTGAAAAGTTTATAGCCCTTCTCTTTAGCAAATATTATAATCCAAGGTACAGATAACTGATCACCCAGATATTCCCATTCTATTCACTGTATCTTCTTCTCCTTCGCATATACCTCTCTCATGTACCACCCAACTGCCCTCTCTAACCCCTCCTCCGTGGTAAATCGCGCCCGATACCCTAACCTCTCCTCGATCTTGTTAATGCAAAATGTGCGCTCAATTGTAATAAGCCTGACAACTCTCGTTGTCAGTAGCGGCTCTCTCTTCCCAAATGTGAATGCCCACAAGAGCCACTCCGACAGAAAAGCAAAAACCATCACTAGCCACAGTGGAATAGCCCTCACGTCTTCTTTCTGAACCGGATAACCCGCAATTCTTGCGGCAATACGATTGATCTCCCAAAATGGGTACCGTTCGCTGTTCCTTACGAAAAAGGCCTCGCCTTCCACACGCTGAGTTTCAGGTAGAGCAGAGAGAGTGGATGAGGCCTTGATTAGAGCTTGTGCCGCTAGAAATTGCGCAAATGCCACATTCCTAACATAAGTAACATCCATCAAATTCTTGCCATTGCCCAACTGGTATTTGGCTCTTCCCATATATGAATTTCGACACAGATTCGCAGTGATTAGTAAATCTCCCTCGCCGTAGATAGTGGTCGGGCGAATAGCGACGGTCAGCATACCACTGACGCGATTGGCGTCTAATACGAGTTTCTCAGCCAGAGCTTTGGTGTGTGAGTAGTGCTCTGGTTGTTGTGGGTAGAACAGGACGGGAAGGGATTCGGTGACATCGCATAGAGGACTGTAGTGGTCATGGATGACGGATGTACTAGATGTGTACACAAAGGCGGTAGTGCCAGCTTGCTGCGCACATTCGACGAGATTTTGTGTCCCAACCACGTTGACTTTGTGTAACAGCTGGTGGTCGCGCTGGAGTGGGTGCGGCGAAACTGTGTGGAATACGGTTTTGGGTTTGACTTTCGCGAAGACAGCTTCGACTTGGGTTTTCTGCGTAATGTCGGCACTGTAGTAAGAGACTGAAGGGTGTAGATTTGCGTCGGTGCGTAAGTCGAGGACCGAGATCGACGAGGACGGGTTGTTCTGAGAAAGCTCGAGGATGATGTTGTGGCCTAGGAAGCCGCAGCCGCCGACTACGAGAATTTCACCTAGGTCTGATGCCATTGTGGGGCTTTGGGACGGGGGGGAAATCGAAATGTTATTACGAAAGATGAATAGTTTGAGAAAATGAGAGTTGGGTAAAGCGTAAGCAATAAAATGAAAACTCGCTTACGGATATTGTTGTACTTCGTACAGTCGCTTACAAAATCGGCTTCACCTTCGATAAACGCTGAAGAGCGCCACTTTGCCACCCTTGAAAAGCCTGTTTTACAGTGGATTCAGGTGGATTCGATCTTAGAATTATCAATGGGGACTTATCGGATCTGAGATCAGATTTATATGCTTTTTGAGTATATATTAGGAGCGTACATTGCCAGTATTAGGTAGTTGTCAAGTCAATTACAAGCTTTGAACCCTGAATATGTTGCTTTAACCGACATCACGAGATTCAGACGCAACACGAAACGGTGGCGGGCCAGTGCTTACCCAATAGTCTACATGGATGGCTACTGTGGTATTTTCGAGAATCTACCGGCCTTGTAGACATATAGGGCCTACAAATTATTTCAGGCACACTCCTATTGCGGAAGAACATGCACAAAGCAGTCGAATACTGAACCTCAACAGCCCAGTCGAGCTGGATTGATACTAAAGCCTGGGAACGCAGGAGGACTAAACCTCAGGGCCCATTTTCAGAACATTTACAATAGGAATGGAACATTAAATAGCCTTCAGCAAACCCTTACACTATTCTACGGAACAAATTACTGTCTTGAATCACTTCAAGGAAGAGGGGAAGGCTTGGAAGTGGATCTTCAGGAAGTTCCCGGAGAGAACTGAGCCCGCAATCCGCACGCGCTGGACCATAATCCAGCAGCGAGCTGAGTAGACTTTTTATCGACAACAGCTACTTGTATTTTTTGAAGGCATTTGATCGCATGATAATTTATTGTACAAGTACGACGTGGAATGATTGTGGCGGAGCTTTTGGAGAATGGAAAGGACCAAACCTTTGACATCTCGGCGCATACAGACGTAATTGCTATTCTGAAAGATGGCAACTTTTAAAGTTCATAGCATAGTTGGCAACAACTAGGCTCGCCATCGTTGGGTGCTGTAAGCAGCTGTACTAGGAATTTGGCTACAACTAGCCAAGTACGCTTGGAGCCAGTCCTGCCTAGATAGTGTCTCCAAGAAATTTGGCTTCACACGTACCTTGAGTCTTGTCTCCATCACCTACTGGGTGGTTCGAAAATCCATGCGTTTGGGTTACAACAACTGCAGACCTGGATATGCCGCAGTGAGGAAGCCTGGATCCAGCTTTACTGTATAGTGGCACTGTCTGATTTCGAGAGCTGGCGGTTACAACAGACCCGCGATGATTCTTTTTCGGAGCTGCGCGCTGCGTGTTAGGACGGCAATCGGCTGGGAGCCAGAAATTCACATGGCGCATATCGACAGCGGCCATGGCGAGAAACTAAGTCAATTGATAGTGGTCTGGAAAGATATAAAAGCTGACTTCTTGAGCAGTTTCGAAGGAGCGCAACGGGTTTATATGGCCGTCTCTCACCTCGCCCTGAGCGCTCATTTGCCGCACAAGTCTGCCGTGCCATCATGGCGAGATTTTATCCCGGCAAATCCAACATAGAGAGAACCGGCACAGCGCATGAAAATACCCTCGTTTTGTCCTCTTCATTCCCTGCCTCACACTCCAGCTCCTCCACTACCCCCGAACAGGATGTGATTGTCACCTTTGTGCGCGGTTGTGCAGCATACGAGGTCAGGAGGTTCTGGACCGGCCGCGATTCCCTGACTTTCCGTCCCCATCTGTCCGCTGGGTTCGCCGTGATTCGAGAGATCGTGTTGCAATTTGCAATCTCATCTGCCATTTCCCCTGTTCCGCCCAGCGCCATTCCCATTATGACATGTGCCTCCTGGACCCATCAGTCCCGTATCAGCGAGTTCGAGACAAGCAGACCGAGGTCGATCAGGGGGTGGACATGGTCGTGGTCGTGTGACGGTTCGTGAAGGCATCGTGCTCGATCCACAGCTCGCTGTAATAGCTCCTGCGATCCAATCCATCAATGCCACATCGACGGGTGTCGGCCCTTCTCTTGTAGGTCAGCTCAGAGCCAAGGCACACTGTCACCGAACATCTTCAGCTGATGGAGGGCTTTACCAGGAATCCTCCGCCACCGCTAGCAAGCAATCCGTAATCCGTCCGCAGAAGCTGGCCGCCTCGCCATCAGGCATTTTCTCCATTGGTCAGGCGGTACATCCAGGTCCCAGCAAGGCAGAACAATCGGCCTTCTTGCAGCTTGCCAACGTGCATTACGGACTTCGCCGTCGCTTTCCCGCGACGAGTCTAGAGCCACAGTGTAGCAGAAGCAAGCCGCGTCATCATGAGGCATTCTCTCGATTGGCCAGGTCGGGACAGTGTACGCGCCGGTCTTGGAGGAGCTTGGTCGGGCTGAGTTCACGAGGCACCTATGCCATCGCGGCTGTGAAGATGGTGCGACCACGAGGGCAGGCAGGTGCATGGAGCCCGCTCCTTCGGTCGTATCTCAGCCAATGCGATAGGTCCATAGAGAGGATCATCATTCGAGTGTCCAGGGAAACGAGGTTCAGAGTAGAAGATCGAGGGTGGTGGGGCTTCATTCAAGGTATTCAGCTGCGGCGAGGCAGGCGGAGGGCACACGCGGGTGGACCCAGCTGAGGGAGCGTGGGTCGCGTGTGATCGAAGGGCCCGGGCGGTGAGTAGAGGGTTGTTGGAGAGGAATTGAAGAGGAAGAGAGGTCGAGGGGGACTGGGCGCGGTCTTTATAGACGTTGAGGCGGCACCGGACCCGTGCACGCGCCTTGCCCGAAGCGGGGGGGTCGCTAAACTCAGCTGGGCAAACACCGCGACTCAGATTACTAACTTTAGCTACTAAGTTTATATCTAATTTAACTTTTAAATTAACTACTATATTAACTAACGCCCCTTACTACCCTTAAAACTCGACAACAAACGATAGAATCGAAATCAGTACCTTTAGATACCTCCTAGAGTGCTAGTAGACTATAGGCAAGCCTATAGTAACGGATAGTAGGTGTGCTAGACTCGAACAGAGCTAGCTGTCAGGTGTATGTCTATAGAGTAGAAGAGTCAAAGGCCGATGTATAGTATATTCGAAGACGAAGGTAGGTAGCCGTGTAGATTACAAACTTATCTCTAAATCCCCTTAATTCCCCCTAGCCCCTTCTTCCTTCTTATACCCTTATAAATCCCTTTGTATTCTACTAATAGTATAACGTAGTTACCTTACTTCTAATTTCTAAGCCCTTACGCTAGATCTTTAACTATTATGTAATCTACCCTAATAAGCTTTCTAACATAACATCCTCCCTTTTTAGCTTCTGTCCTTAGAAGCTTATAAGTAGCCGTTAGCTTATAAAGAGGCTAGGACAGCCTAACGCCTCTTAGAAACAAGAATAGATATATAAGAATAACTCTATAAGTAACTATATACTTAGTAGTATTAAAGGAAAGGTAAGGCAACTTTATAGTATAGTAGAGCTACGTAACTAAATTAAAATTTTTTTGTTATATATCGTAATTCAAGCTACTTACTTAGTACTCTCTTTATTTACTTTTATATAAAAGACACCCTAAAGCGTGTTACTAGTAACTTACTAAGTAGTCGCTATACCCCTAATTTATAGTATAAACTATATTACCTAAGTACGCTAGTATTCCTTACCTTTTTACCGCTTTTAGAAATTCTTTGTTACCCCTTACTAAAAGGTCGACAGACCTCTAATAGTAAGTAGCTATAGAAATTAAACCGTATTACCTATAATCGTACTTTTTAAGTAAATATAAGAAAACACCTCTTTTGTCCTCCTTTACTTTACTTTTTACTTATAGTACTAAGGGGTATATAAAGACTTAATCTTACTAGCTTATTAACTTCTTTTTCTCTTTTTTACCTAATACTAATAACACTAATACGCCGCCCTTCTCTTTAAACGATCTATCTAGAAACTCCTACTAAATCACTATTATATTAATAGCGAATACTAAGCGTTTTATTACTTATAAGTAATACTTAAATCAAATAGTAAAGTAAGACCTATAAAGAGTAGCTCTAAAATATAAAGATAATAAATATAAGTATGCCTCTCTTGTAAGGAATTACGACCTAATAGTGTAGTAGTAGTGTTAGTAAAGTACGTATATTACAAGAATCTAAAGAAAGATTACATTACTATATATATAACCCTACTTAGGGCGACGCTCTTATATTATAGATTTGTTAACGTTACTAGGTAGTATCTACTCTTAAAGCTAGAGGAATTAAGCTATAAAAAGTAATTACTAAAAAGGATAAAGTAAGTTAGCCGCTACTTTATAGTAAGCTTAAAGCTAAGATATATAGGCTACTATTTAGGTAGCTTAAACTTTAGTAAAAAAGGCTCTCTAGTATCTAATAACAAAGTTAGGGATGTTAGTAGTAAAGCGTCTTTAAAGTAATAAGGCTAAGAGAGAGGAACAGGTAAATAAGAAGTTAGTTATTCTAAGAAAGATTACTTAATAGTTAGAGCTTACTACTAAAGAGATCAAGCGTTATAACTAGATTACTAAAGACTTACTATAAGTATAACAAGAGCTTGTTAGTATCTTTAATAAATACGTAGCCTATTTTAAGAAAGTCGTAAGTATTTTACTACTTAACACGAATTTACTACTAACTTAAAGGTAGTATATATACAAATTATAAAGGTCTAAAGGTAGTAAGAGAGAAAGAGATAGACTAGTTAAGAATACTAATAAAGTTAAGAATAGTAAAGGTAAGGAAAATAAGGGTAATAATAAAAATAATAATAACAACAAGTAAGAGACAAAAGAGGGTTAAAACGTCTTTACCTAATAAAGGTGTCGTTTGCCTTTTCTTTTTTTTTTTTCTAAAATAAAAATAGTTTATAATAAGGTTAGTAGGACTTTAAAGGGACTTTAAAGGGCCTTTACTAGTAAGAACGTAGATAGGTGTTTTGGTTTCTTTTTCTTAAATACCCTAGTTT